TCAGACAAAATCAGCCTCCTGGTCCTCCAGGTTGGGGGTAAGAATGAAGGTGCCTCCTTAATCGTTAAAACAGACCCCTTGGATCCCAACGCCAAACCCGCTGCTTTGCGGACAAGTTTCTGAACCAAAGGCTTTGGTTGAGAACCCTAATCGTTCTCCTGTCTAGGCCTGGGCAACCTGGCAGTATCCTGCCTACGCAATACAGTGAATCTCACATCAAACAAATTTCTGACGCTCTGGCCACCGCAGAGGATAATCAACGGTATCCTATCTGCTGCATCGAGTAGGGTGGATAGGGGTTTGAACGCTACTGCTCAAGCCTTCCCGTCTTCTTATTCCCCATCTCACGCTTTTTCACTCTTACCGTCCCGTCCCAACTTCACTTCTATCCCCCCCCCCAGTTTTCAACCCCCGATTCTTGGCCCTCACCCAATATGATTTGCTAGGCATTTATCTTCTAGTTTCAACTCCCATGTGAACGCGGACCGTCACTCCTCTCCTATCGACAAGCTCATGTCCAACCAAGCGGTCCATTCCAGTTCATCGGCTTCCATTTGGAGCCTTCGATCCACCTTTAGATTGGCATGCTGTAATGTACGCACATTGCTACAGATCGGTCAATAAGCAGCACTTGGCCGAACATTGGAGACCTTCTCGATCGATATCTGCTGCTTATCGGAGACCTGTTTGCAAGACTCGAGCTCTGTGCTCACTCTGCGATCCCCTTCAGGTGACGCAAGCAGTATTTTCTCATTGCGCCTATCCAGTGACGATGCAGCTTCGAGCACCGGACAAGCCGGTGTTGGCATTGCCCTGAGTCCTCGGGCTGAAGCTGCTCTGGTCGATTGGATTCCAATCAGTAGCCGGATGTGTGCGGTCCGATTGGCTGGCTCGTTTAAAGCTTCGAAGTCGCGCGGGACTACTAGGTGTCTATTCATCATCGCGGCCTACGCGCCCACAAACTGTAGCGATGATGCGGTAAAGAACGACTTGTACGGTCAACTGACTCAGCTCCTTCGCCATAGAAGAAGCACGGACACTGTTGTGCTGGCGGGAAATATGAACGCACAAGTTGGAAAGTTGTCCACTGATGAAATGCATCTGGGCGGTCAGCACGGTGTAGGCTTTCGTAATGATAACGGTGAGTGGTTACTTCATTTGTGTGAAGATGCTCGCCTATTTCTTACGAGCACTAATTTCCGACACAGCACCCGCCGGAGGGTGACTTGGCGCCCACCAGCCTCGAACCAGCCTTGGACGCAGATCGATCACATTGCTATTAGTTACCGATGGACAGGCTGCATCTAGAATTGTCGCTCGATTTGGAGCACATGTGTGGACACCGATCATGCACTTGTATGTGCTGACATGCGGATGCGCTTTGGCGGACGCTCACGACGACGCTGTGAGCGCATTGACACCAGCCAACTGACAAAGCCAGCTGTTCTGAATGCGTATCGAAGTACGATGGCATGCGAGTTGAGTACTCGCTAACTGGATGCAGTTGAAGCTCACTGGTCACATGTTCGCCAGACCTTACTAGCAGCAGGCAAATCCTCATGTGGTATGTCTAATAGCCAACATGGTTACTGGGTCTCTTCGCAGTCTCTAGAACTTATCGATGCTCGCCGGCATATCCCGGCTGGAAGCGAACACAATGAAACTCGCAGAGCTCCGGGCAAAACTCCGCGCTAGCCTGAAGAGAGACCGCGAATCTTGGTGGTCTCATCGTGCGTCAGAGATGGAAGTGGCCGCTGCCCTTGGCAACCATCGTAAGTTATTCCGCCTGATACGGGAAACGGGCAACAGGAGACCTGGTGTTAGTGAAACTATACGTGACCAGAGTGAACAGCCTATCCACAATTTGTCAAAACGTTTGGAGCGTTGGTCTGAACACTCTGAAAGGCAATTTAATCGGCTAGAATTGTTCGATTCTTCGCCGGCCAGTGATCGCCCTGCTCCGTGGGCTGTCCCCTTTTGGATCCACCCCCTCGCTCAGAAGTCGAACGTGAGAAAGGACTGTTGAAGTTGAACAAAGCCGCGGGACCAGATGCTCTTCCTCCAGCTCTTTTCAAATTCGCAGGTGCTACTATTGTTGATATTTTACATAAATTACCAGTGAAACTGTGGGAGCAGGAGGCTGTCCCAACCGACTGGAGCAGCTCCGTTATTGTTCCTATCTTCAAAGGCGCTTCGCGCTCGAAATGCGGCAACCATAAAGGAATCATTCTGATCTCCATTGCCACCATAATCCTCCACAGACTGACTGGCGCCCGTGAAAGCCATATTCGTGAGGAACAAGCCGTGTTTCGTCGAGGTGGTGGCTGCATCGACCACATCTTCACTTTGCGTCAGTTGTTGGAGCACCGCCACACATATTGGCGGCCCACCCTAGTCGTGTTCCTCAACATCAAAGGTGCCTTCGATTCCGTTGACCGATGTGCCCTTTGGAATTGTCTACTCAGGAAAGGTGTGCTCGAGAAATATGTAAATGTTATGTAAGCATTATACGCATATAGCATGGGCAATGTGAGGGCAAGCTATCGGCACCCTTCAATATCTCCAGCGGTGAGAGAAATGATGCCCGCTGTCACCGTTCCTCTTCAACTTCGCTATTGACAAAGTCATGGAGATTGCATTTACAGGACATGACTTGGAAAGTGTAGAGGTACTCCCATGAGAGCGACTTCTTGACGTAGAGTATGCAGACGACATTGCCTTCATCTGTGACAGCTCCCAGACGTGTCAATCCGCGCTGGACAGATTAGCATTGGCTGTCAGTCGCTTCGGGCTTTGCTTTGCACCATCGAAATGCAAAGCGTTCCTCTAAGATTGACCTGGACTGCCCACGCTGCAAGATTGGCAGGAATCGCCTCCTACGCTGACCCTTGGTACGGATCAGCTAGAAGTCGTGCAAGTATTCAACTACCTGGGAAGTTGTATCAGCGCCCTTGGGATCGAAGACGAGATCAAGAACCGTATAGCGAAAGCTCGAAGTGTTTTTGCTAACCCTCTCCACCTATGGCAGGTGGGCGACATTACTCTCGCCCTGAAGGGTAGAGTGCACAATGCAGCGGTACGTTCGACCCTACTGCACGGTTGTGAAACCTGGCCCCTTATATCAGCGAACATGAAGAGGATAGTTACGGTCGACCATCGGTGCCTTCGCAGTTCGGCTCACATCTGGTGGGAACACCGCGTGAGTAACGAGCGTGTTCGACGCCTTGTTTAAGGCACAGGAAAAGGAACTGAACTGCTCAACACCGTCAGTTCACGCACCAGGCTCCGATGGCTCGGCCACGTGTTGCGCATGCCGGCCCATCAACTTCCATGACGTGCGTCGTTTGCTAACCGGGGATGTGGATGGAAGAAGAGGAGAGGTGGCCAAGCGATGACTTAGTCAAGTGGAATGAAGGCCCTCACTTCTGTGCTGGCCTCTGTTGGAGCGTCACGGCTCCCTGGTTGGGGTCCGAAAGACGGTGAACATGTTTGGCTGAATACGCCTGATGACATGGCAAAAAGCGGACGTCAGTGGCGTTCCTGCTGTGAGTTTCTTTATTCCTCCCCATCCATTTTAGCCTCCCCCTCCATTTACGACCTCATTTCGTAGAGTAAAACAGTAATTTTTTGACTAGTAGCTGGCTGGTAGCTTACCGAAACGATGCCTATCCGTTGCTGGTAGCTCAGCTGGCATGCAACTTTTGTATTTATTTTCCTTTTTCATTTATGTATTGCGGTACAGTAGCTGAGGTGTTTCTCACCTCTAGCTGACGTGTATAATGATATGATGAATGATGACAACAAAAAGCAAAAGCAACAGGAGCAGCAATGAGGTAAAAAGGCGTGAAAAAGTCAAAACCGTCCTCTTCGTCATATGAGTCCGATGAATGGTCATCGGGAAAGAATTTGTTTGCAGTCGAACTGGTAAAAAGTGAGTCGCCTGCGTTGTGTATCAAGTGTGAGCTCATGAAGGTTGTACTTCAGAAGTTTCTAAAGTCTATGTGTGATACACTTGCAAATCAGACGGTGATTATTAAATCGTTGGTTTTTTTTAATGCATCTGAGCATTCCCTAACTAAAAACTGTATGCCCTCCAATTTTAAAGTCGCTCTACATTGTAGTGTTAAGGAAGGATCTGGCTATCCCTTTGTGTATATGCCATGACTGTATTACAATATGCTGTAGCTCTATCCCTAATAGTTATCTGTATATCTGTGTGTGCATTTAAGCAGTTAGGGAGGGGGTAAGGTTTGATGCTCACCAGTGGGCATCTGAACCCACATGGGTAGGCGATTTACCCAAAGTGTAGGGTAAAATGTCCATAGATATTGCTCACAGTGAATAAGTATTGTAAGCTAGGTATGAATTTCACAAATCTTGCAAATAAAGCCAGCTATTTGCATAAACTGTCACCACCTACAGCATGTGATCGTACATCCGAACTGTTTAGCCCAGTAGATGTGGCCCTTGTGAAACTATGTCATGACCAATGCAAAATGATGATGCGGCATTAAGAGAAAGACCTAGTTGTATAAATAAATTAAATAAATTTGTACATTTACCGACAGACGGCACACTGCCCCATTAGTGGGAACGGGTCATTTGAATTGGAATATTGTCAGAACGCCAAAGGCCAGAAAAGTCAGTGATAAGTCCTTGAGCAAAGCCTATCGCTCGAAAGCCTGGTCGAAAGACCGTGAAAATGAGTGGAAATGCGCTTCCAACCCCAAAAACTTTAATGCAAGAAGATTTAGTGTGTCCGATCTGTAACCGTTGGTCAATGTGGTAGGTGAGGCTTTAAAGGCACCAGACTCTCATTCAGTACAGCTCAAATGGTTAAAAATATACGTAAACCGTCACAGCGTGTTAAGGTCCGGTCTCGTTGCCACGAAATTATGTTCAAGAGTTGCAATTAAACAGTAGTACCAAGTCAACGGCCACTAGGAGAAAAAGATGGAGGATAACGATAAATAAAATCTCGAATTTCGTATGGTACATACCAAAAAACGGTTGCGTGAGAACCATCTCCCATGATTTGAGTGATATAGCCTCCACCAGCATGCGGAAAAATGTCAAAGGACGAGCTTCCTCCATCAGGGATTCGACTTGAAAAGCGTGAAATGGAGCATCCACTCTGAAAGAATCAGCAGCATTGTCGCCCCAGCTGTCGAGGAAATCAGCGTCATCGGCATCTAATGAATTGTCGTGCGCTGATTGCCATATTATCGACCTCCTTCGAAAGGCACGATGGAAAAGTTCGGAAGTAAAATCCATACATGCGCTAGCAAATACGCCGGTTGAGATGACTTTCCATAGGCCATAGGTCTGAATACTATGATAAACGTAACGGAATATGTTTGGGTACACGTAAAATGTAGAGCCCCAACCAAGTAAAACCAGTGGGGAGGTGCATGGGATGGGGGCCAGCGGTTCGTAGCCCAATCGAATAAGAGTCCATGATAACCGGAATGGATTCAAGAACTGTCTCAAAAAGTACAACTCGAAGCTGAGAATATCGGCATTGTCAATCGAAGATAGTTTCGCGACACTCCTCGGTGATGGCTCATTCATTACCAGACTGAAGCGAAGAGAGCAAGCAACAAGTGCTCATAAGCATACGTGAAAATACATAAGGGATGCACGATCGGACGATTTCGTTCTGCAGATGCCACAAGCGGTAATACCAAGATCTGGGATCAGAACAATGAAGTACCACCATTATGCGAAATAACTTGGATTGAAGGGTGAAGTAAAACAGGAAGGAATGCATTCATGATGGTCAGAATACACTGTAGCGAGCGCAAAAAAAGAAAAGTATGCGGTTGACGTACCTCAGATCATAAGTGATTCACCGTCAAGCAACTTTATATCGTACTAGATCCGCCAGGTCGTGGCAACTGGATGCACCTGGTAGACAAATACGAAAAAGCACTGGAATTTAATAGGTATGAAAACAGTAGACCAACTATCCATCCCGCAAACAAGATTGCCATATATATATATATATATATATATATATATATATATATATATATATATATATCGCAATGAGGCTGGACCTTACCTTAAAGTGATGGTTTGTGTGCCTCAGCGATCCATTGAGCTATGCTGGGTGGTGCTTTTGCACCTTCAGAGTCAGATTGATCAATGGTTAGAGGTCAGACAAAATCAGCCTCCTGGTCCTCCAGGTTGGGGGTTAGAATGAGGGTGGCACCTTATTCCTTAAAACGGAATCCTTGTAGCCCAACGCCAAACCCGCTGCTTTGCGGTCAGGTTTTTGAACCAAAGGCTTTGGTTGAGAACCCTAATCGTTCTCCTGTCTAGGCCTGGGCAACCTGGCAGTATCCTGCCTACGCAATACAATGAATTACACTTCAAACAAATTGCTGATGCTCTGGCCACCGCAGAGGATAATCAACGGTATCCTATCTGCTGCATCGAGTAGGGTGGATAGGGGTTTGAACGCTACTGCTCAAGCCTTCCCGTCTTCTTATTCCCCATCTCACGCTTTTTCACTCTTACCGTCCCGTCCCAACTTCACTTCTATCCCCCCCCCCAGTTTTCAACCCCCGATTCTTGGCCCTCACCCAACATGCTTTGCTAGGCATTTATCTTCTAATTGCAACTCACATGTGAACGCGGACCGTCACCCCTCTCCTATCGACAAGCTCATGTCCAACCAAGCGGTCCATTCCAGTTCCTCGGCTTCCATTTGGAGCCTTCGATCCACCTTTAGATTGGCATGCTGTAATGTACGCACATTGCTACAGATCGGTCAACAGGCAGCACTTGGCCGAACATTGGAGACCTTCTCGATCGATATCTGCTGCTTATCGGAGACCTGTCTGCAAGACTCGAGCTCTGTGCTCACTCTGCGATCCCCTTCAGGTGACGCAAGCAGTATTTTCTCATTGCGCCTATCCAGTGACGATGCAGCTTCGAGCACCGGACAAGCCGGTGTTGGCACTGCCCTGAGTCCTCGGGCTGAAGCTGCTCTGGTCGATTGGATTCCAATCAGTAGCCGGATGTGTGCGGTCCGATTGGCTGGCTCGTTTAAAGCTTCGAAGTCGCGCGGGACTACTAGGTGTCTATTCATCATCGCGGCCTACGCGCCCACAAACTGTAGCGATGATGCGGTAAAGAACGACTTGTACGGTCAACTGACTCAGCTCCTTCGCCACAAAAGAAGCACGGACACTGTTGTGCTGGCGGGAAATATGAACGCACAAGTTGGAAAGTTGTCCACTGATGAAATGCATCTGGGCGGTCAGCACGGTGTAGGCTTTCGTAATGATAACGGTGAGTGGTTACTTCATTTGTGTGAAGATGCTCGCCTATTTCTTACGAGCACTAATTTCCGACACAGCACCCGCCGGAGGGTGACTTGGCGCCCACCAGCCTCGAACCAGCCTTGGACGCAGATCGATCACATTGCTATTAGTTACCGATGGACAGGCTGCATCCAGAATTGTCGCTCGATTTGGAGCACATGTGTGGACACCGATCATGCACTTGTATGTGCTGACATGCGGATGCGCTTTGGCGGACGCTCATGACGACAATGTGAGCGCATTGACACCAGCCAACTGACAAAGCCAGCTGTTCTGAATGCGTATCGAAGTACGCTGACATGCGAGTTGAGTATTCGCTCACTGGAGACAATTGATGGTCACTGGTCACATGTTCGCCAGACCTTAGTAGCAGCAGGCAAATCCTCATGTGGTATGTCTAAAAGTCCACATGGACATTGGGTCTCTTCTCGGTCGCTGAAACTTATCGGCGCTCGCCGGAATATACCGGCTGGAAGCGAACACAATGAAACTCGCAAAGAGCTCCGGGCAAAACTCCGCGCTAGCCTGAAGAGAGACCGCGAATCTTGGTGGTCTCATCGTGCGTCAAAGATGGAAGTGGCCGCTGCCCTTGGCAACCATCGTACGTTACTCCGTCTGATACGGGAAACGGGCAACAGGAGACCTGGTGTTAGTGAAACAATTTGTGATGAGAGTGGACAGCCTATCCACAATTTGTCAAAACGTTTGGAGCGTTGGGCTGAGCATTTTGAAAAGCAATTTAATCAACCGGAATTGTTCGATTCCTCGCCGACCAGTGATCGCCCTGCTCCGTGGGCTGTCCCCTTGGATCCACCCTCTTGCTCAGAAGTCGAACGGGAGAAAGGACTGTTGAAGTTGAACAAAGCTGCGGGACCAGATGATCTTCCTCCAGCCCTCTTCAAATTCGGAGGCACTGCTCTTGTTAATGCATTACATGAATTAGTAGTGAAACTGTGGGAGCAGGAGACTGTCCCAACCGACTGGAACCGCTTTGTTATTGTTCCCATCTTCAAAGGCGGTTCGCGCTCGAAATGCGGCAACCATAAAGAAATCAGTCTGATCTCCATCGCCTCCATAATTCTTCACAGACTGGCGCTCGTGAAAGCCAGATACGTGAGGAGCAAGCCGTGTTTCGTCGGGGTGGTGGCTGCATCGACCACATCTTTACTTTGCGTCAGTTGTTGGAGCACCGTCACACATATTGGCGGCCCACCCTAGTCGTGTTCCTCAAAATCAAAGGTGCCTTCGATTCCGTTGACCGATGTGCCCTTTGGAATCGTCTACTTAGGAAAGGTGGGCCCGAGAAATATGTAAATATTATCCAAGCATTATATGCGCACAGCACGGGCAGAGTGAAGGCTTACGGCAAACTGTCGCCACCCTTTAATATCTCCAGCGGTGTGAGACAATGATGCCCGCTGTCACCTTTCCTCTTCAACTTCACTATTGACGAAGTCATGGAGTTTGCATTTACAGGACATGACTTGGAAGGTGTGGAGCTACTCCCATGAGAGCGACTTCTTGACGTAGAGTATGCAGACGACATTGCCCTCATCTGTGACAGCTCCCAGACGTGTCAAGCCGCGCTGGACAGATTATCACTGGCTGTCAGCCGCTTCGGGCTTTGCTTTGCACCATCGAAGTGCAAAGCGTTCCTCCAAGATTGGCAGGGATCGCCTCCTGCGTTGACCCTTGGTGGGGATCAGCTAGAAGTCGTTCAGAAATTCAATTACCTGGGAAGTTGTATCAGCGCCCTTGGGATGGAAGACGAGATCACGAACCGTATAGCGAAAGCTCGAGGTGCTTTTGCTAACCTTCGCCACCTATGTCGGCGGCGCGACATCACTCTCGCCCTGAAGGGTAGAGCGTACAATGCAGCGGTACGTTCGACCTTACTGTACGGTTGCGAAACCTGGCCCCTACGATCGGTGGACATGAAGAGGCTAGTTACGTTCGACCATCGGTGCCTTCGCAGTTTGGCTCACATCTGGTGGGAACACCGCGTGAGTAACGAGCGTGTTCGACGCATTGTTTACGGCCCAGGAAAAGGGAATGAACCGTTCAGCACCGTTATTACCCGCACCAGGCTCCGATGGCTCGGCCACGTGTTACGCATGCCAGCCCACCGACTCCCTCGACGTGCGTTGTTTGCTCACCGGGGATGTGGGTGGAAGAAGAGGAGAGGTGGCCAAGCGATGACTTGGTCCAGGGGAATGAAGTACCTCACTTCTGTGCTAGCCTCGGTTGGAGCATCACGGCTCCCTGGTTGGGGTCCAAGAGACGGTGAACACGTTTGGCTGGATACACTTGCTGACATGGCAAGGAGCCGACCTCAGTGGCGTTCCTGCTGTGAGTTTCTTTGTTCCTCCCCATTCCTTTTAGCCTCCCCCTCCATCAACGATCCCATTTCTCAGGGTAAAACATAACTTTTTTTTCTTTTGAATGGTAGCTGGCTGGAAGCTTACAGGAACGATGCCTATCCGTTGCTGGTAGCTCAGCTGGCATGCAACTGTTGTAGCTATTTCTCCTTTGTGTATTGTGTTATATGATGTATGTATGTATGTATGTGTGCCCCATGCTGAGGCTGATGCATCCTTGATGCTTCTTCACCGCACTTGGGCTAAACCACCTTCCACTTAAACTAGGTCATTTTAAGCCGGCTAAATTTTATTCCACTTTATTTGGTTTGTTCTGCCTACCTGAATACTCTTCTATTAACTGGCCACGTTGCTTACATTAATTGCGCTTATCTTCGGTAACTCTGTTGCGTTTTGTAGCATTTTTAACTAACTTGTGGACATTTTTTCTTTATCCCGGATTTGTTGCTCACCAACTTACTTCATATGCTTATTTAGGTTAGAGTTATGCCACCGTATCTGTATGCATCATTGTATTTGTTTTATTTCATCTTGTCGTTCCAGGTGATTGGCTGTTGCTTGATATCCCCGGTGTGGCTGCGCTTGATGTACATGTTGACAAGGTGCCTACCTGTCTATTACCCACTACCTCGTCCATACTGGCTCCAGGAGACAGTTGGTCGTTGCTGGAGGGGACGGGGTGCACGGTCCTTGTGGCCGTGTTAGGATCAAAGAGTGGTTCCATGCCCCCAGTGTGGAGCGGACTACGGTCCAGCCACCGCCTTGTGTGCGCTTGATTCCCAAATACAGTGTGCTTGTGTTTGCCTGTGAAGGAGTGTGGGCCGGCTCCGTTGATGAAACGTGGTTCCCATCCGCATGCCTCCCAGTCTTATTCCTTCGGGTTTACACTGGATATGGGGTGTGTGGTTGGAGCTGTGGGTGGTGCAGCGCAAGCCATCCATGGTCCGTCTGTAGGCGCAAGCGTCCTGTGGCTGGCCACAGT